TACCATTTCAACATTGCTTCAGGATTCTAGTGTCGCACTTTATCATTTCACATTTATAATATTGTGTCTTTTTTTTGATAGATCATTTAAGGAAAACTATGTTGGATGTAGAACAATCAATTCTCTTCCTTTGGACAGGATAGATGACATGTACATTGGGGGGCACAGTGAGGTTATGTGAACTCACATGCTTATCATATTTTATGAAAAATAATGCTGTATTAGTTTTATTTTGCAGATGAAGAAACTGAGGAACAGTGAACTTAGGTGATTTATCCAGGATCTTATAGGAGATTACTCACAGAGTTGGGATGCAGATTTAGGCATTCTTACTCAAGGCATAGCTTTCTGCTATGTTATGATGTATTGCATAGAATATAAAGTGAAAGGACACCTCAGAAGCCATCTACTCTAACGTAAGCTTCTTGAGTAGGCTTTTTTTTTTGTATTTGCATCTCAAATGCTTAGCAGGATTCCTGGCACACATAAGGGTTGTAATAAATGCTTGTTGGTTGATTGATTTTTAAGTAGCTTTTTTGATGTACATAAAAAATGAAGAATATTAATAGGTATGTGGGACCAAGTTTGGAGCTCCACCCAACACCTTTCCATCTTGATCGTTGGGTAAGATATACATGGGCCACTAAGCTATCATGAGAGTGTTAAGGAATTAGAAAGTTTTTTTCACATTCTGATTCAAAGAGGAGACAACTCAGAGAGTGGCAGCCTAAGGCAGAAACCAGGTAGTTAGAAAGACAGACTTATATACCCAAAGGATTGCCTCGGCAGTTGTCTTGTGCAAGATAGACAGGGTAATATCACAAAAGATCTAGTAGAGAGCAGCAATGCAGAGAAAGCAGATTATCAGAAGGCCTCAGGTCTACAGAGAGGACATTTTATATCCTGATGACATTAAAAAGGACCTCAGTAGTATTGCTGTGGAGCAAGAACCAGCAGAGAAGTCTTCTAAGAATGATATTATATTCAAAGCATGACTTACCGTTGCTATGAATGTATACTACTAGCTATTCAAATCAGCTCAGTCACTTACTGGCTACGTGAACTTGAACGAGTCACCCATTTTTGCCTGTTTCCTCATCTGTAATATGGGGATAATAATAGCACCTGCTTCTCAGGGATGTTGTGAAGATCAAATGAGATATTAATCATAAAGTACTTGTCCCACTGTGTGGCACATAGTAAGTATTTTATAAAAGTTAGCTAGTTATTATTATTAATTATTATTATTTTAACATTCCTTTAACATTAACATTCCCTACATTTGTTTCTTTCCCCCCAGTGGTGTGGGATTCTGCAGGAGAATATGCTCTATGGGTATTGCAGAAATTTTTTTTGTCACTTATTTTGTTATGAAGTTTAATTAAATATCTTTAGTATGGAGCTAGAAGTCATTGTTCAATCTATTAAAACAGACACATAGCTGGGGACCTGTTACTATGAGTATGCCCATCAATCAACCACTCAATAAGCATTTATTAAGTTCTTATTTGTGCAAAGTAAATAACAACTTCATGTAGAAAGTGATGTGTGAGCTGAGTTGTGAAGGAACCAAGGGGCTCTAAGAAGCAGAGGTGAGGAGAATGGAAAGGCATATAGAGAGAAGATAATAATGTGTAAAATGCTTACCACAGTGCCTGGGTTAAAAACGGTTTTGGCAATTAAAAGATTAAAATAATTAGTAAATAAAAAATAAATAAATAAAATAATAAATAAAATAAATAAATGAAAAATTAAATAACTTTGGAGAGAGCAGTTCCAATTTAGTAAGACTGCAAAAGGCTGAGGAGAAATGAGGAATGAGGAAGTAGAAACAATAAGAGTAGTGACCTTTTTCTTGGAGTTTGTTCGTGAAAGGAGACGAGATGTTGGACCTTAGCGTGAAGGAACTTGTGAGCATTTTTTAACAAGGATTATGAAGCTTGGAAAACAGTCATATAGCCCAGGGGTTCTTAATCTTATTTTCTGCTACAGTCCTCTCTAACAACATAAGTAAGCCTATGGACCCCTTCTCAGAATCATGTTTTTAAATTCACAAAATGAAATGCATAAGATTATAAATGAAATCAATTATATGGAAATATAGTTATTAAAATATATATTTTTAAAAGTTCATGAGCCAGACATGTACCCCAGCTACTTAGGGGAAACTATAGCTGGTGGACCACTCGAGCTCAGGAATTCTGTGTTTCACTAGGTCTAAAGATGATTAGGTGTCCACACTAAGTATGGCACAAATATGGTGAGCTCCTAGGAGTGGGGAAGCCACCAAGCTCCCTAAAGAATGGCAAACCAACTCAGGTTAGAATTAGAGTAAATCAAATCTTTCATGCTGATCAGTAGTAGGGTTGGACCTGTAAGGGATCACTGCACTTGCAAGCTTAAGTGAGATAGGAAGACTCAGACTCTCAAAATACATAAACGAACAAACAAATAAAAATCATGGATTCCAAATAACGAACATGGGACTAATTCTAGTCCAACTCTTATCAAAAGCAAAAATTCTACCTATAACATCCCTGGAAAGTCTTCTAGACTCTGCTTGAAAGCCTTCAGTGGTAGGGAGTTCAGTGCCTGCTGAGACAGTCCACATCAGTTTTTGAGAGCTCTAATTATCAAATGGTTTTGCCTTATATTAAAAACAAAACAAAACAAAACAATAAAATGATTTTCTTTCCCTTGACTTAACACCAGTATATCCTAATTCTATCACTCACAGGACAGCCAGAATAAGATTAAACCTTTTTCCACATATTTTAGGAGAGCTGCTGGCAGGCATCAGAGTGGCATGAATGACTGATCTGATACAAACGTAATATAAACATGGACTTACTTAGCTGGTAAGGATACTTTTGCAAAAAGGCAAAATAAAGTTACATGATGATAGCTCTGCTGTTTTTTCTGGTAAGGGTCTGACTTCCCATTCTTCTCCATGCTTTTCGTAGAGCCAAAATCCATCATGATGATTGGTGTGGCTCATATGGGGAGAGGAAACCACTAAGTATGTCATGACCAAGAGCTCTTTATGCTGGACGTTTTTATATCTCTGTGGGACTTTGAGGTAATATGTGCCTTTGTGAAGCCTTCCATTGTGCTTGAAACAAATAATCTTTTGCCTACATGGCATGGCCTACTGGTCAGCATTCCCTAGGTCCCTAGGTCCCATTTGGCTAGAAATTCTCTCTGTTCCACATTGTAGGGACTTCCCCCTTGAAATTCTCTCTGCTCTGTAAGATCTACTTCATCTCTTGTAAGGTATATATGCCTGGCCTTAGCCTCCCATGCCTTCTTTTAAATATTTGACTATGATTGTCATATCTTGTATCCCTATCCAAAGTCTTCTCTTCTTCAGGCTAAACATCCTCAGTCCTTCAGTTGGTTCTCATAATACTTGGGTTCCAGTCCTCTCACCATACAGCCCCTCCTTTCTCCATTTTAATCTGCACACAGCTGCTAAATTGATGTTCCTAGAGCACATCTGTTTCCTCCTCAGGGAATGTCAATTTTCAGTATCGCTGTTAGGGTAATATGCAAAGTCTGGTTGGCATTAAGTCTTTCAGAAGCTGATTCCAACCTACCTTTCTAGGTTTATTATACATCATGCCACCTTAATAATGCTACGTTTCAGCTAAAGTGGCATGCTCTGCAATCATTCCTTGGCTCTGTGCCTTTGCAAGGCCAAGGTACTCCCTATTGCCCAGAATGCTCCCAATTCTCACCTCTTTCACTTGGAAAGCCTTCACAGCTCAGCTTGAGTGCCACTGCCCATAAGAGGCCTTTCTGAATTATCTCATTTGTCTCGGCTCCTGAAATTACTTTCTGTATATTCTGTAATCATTTATCTGTTTAGGTGTTGTTCATCTCTAATATATTGTAAGCTACTTGAGGTCAGAAATAATTTTGTCCCCAGTACCTGGGGACACAGTGCCTGAGATAGAGTAGTTATGCAATACATGCAGATTGAATTGTACTGAAAATCCTGGTCACCTTCTTTAGACTTCCAAGGTCTTTTGCATCTCTAAGATTCTTTTATATATGAATTCAAGCCTATCATTTTTCACATGCACACAAATCTGAGGTACATATTGTACAATTATTTTATTCTATTTAGCCTCTCAGCTTAAGGACAGATGCTGCGTAAAAATGATCTGATTCCTTTACATTAGACTCCAAATTCAGGGTTGGAAAAGACTTTAGAGGTCATTCCTACCTCCTAATTATATGAATGAACAAACAGATCCAGAGTAGTCAAGTGAAAGGCACAATAACAACACCAAATAATAATAATAATTACTAATAATAATATTCATTATTTTATAGTACTTACTATGTGTCAGGAATTGTGCTAAGTGCTTTACACAATTATCATCTCATTTAATTTTCACAGCAAAATTGTGAGGTAGGTGGTGTTATTATCCCCGTTTTACAGATGAGGAAACTGACAAAAAGAGAGGTTAAGTGATTTGCTCAGCGTCACACAGCTAGTAAGTGTCTAAGGTCACATTTGAATTCAGGTATTCCTGACTCTAGACTCTGCCCTCTATTCACTGCACCACTTAATTACCCTGCAGAATCAGGACTTGAATCTAAGTCATCTGGTTTCTGGTCCAACACTCTTTTAACTATAACATGTTCTGAATCATGGTTGGATTTTCTATCAACAAATTTTGCCATGCTATCTCTTTGTCTCTATATGGCAATTAAAAACAGAGACATTTAGCTCAATTCATATAAAGATCTTAAAATACAGTTGAATCTAGAACATAAGATTCTTTACTCAATCCAATGATCATGGTTATATTTCTGTGAAATATTCTTCATGCATAGACCCACAGGGAATCTTAACAGATTTGTAATTAAATCTTATATTATGCATCATGTATTCCATTTGGTGATGCTATGATTTATGATCTCCACGCCTTATTTAACATCTTGTCTGTTGCTCAAGGGTTCACATTTAGAATCCTTGAGCGATGAAGACAGTGAAAAAATCCCAAGTGAGATATAGAAACTACGCATCTCTGTCTTGGAAACCAACAAAGTAAAAGATCAGCTTGCTAGAGGTATTTAATTAATCTTACAGTACATAGTAAATGTGAATCCAAAGAAAAATGTGTTTTAATTACTGCTTAAATGCAGCCTGCATATTAATATGACAAGGATTTAGGTGCTTAGCTTCCCCAAGTAGTCAGAAATATGCTGCAGTTAGCACACTGCTAGTAACAGGGCACTCAGTCAATGTATGTTGGAAGTTCATAGTGGTCATGATTTGAGAAGGAGATAAAAAATGAAAGTGTCTGTGTGACTTTAGGTCAGTCACTTAGCTGTGCCTCAGTTGTCTCATCTGTAAAAGGAGGGGGTATATTCAATACCTTTAAAGTTCCCTTAGAGATCTAAATATTTAATTCTATAATAGTCCTGTAATAGAAAGGAAGTTTGGGGCTTGAATTATCTGGTTAATTGTTTGAAATTTCCATCCACTTCATTCTAGGAAAAGACGTACTTTCTCATTCATGGAATAGGGGTAAGAGTGCTGTTGTAAAGTAGTTTTGCTCAGTCAGACTAAGTGAATAATGAAAAAAATGTGCTTTCAGATTTTAACATAACATTAATTCCCTGTGTCTATCTCTAATTTGTTATTCCTTAGTAATCTTTAATTGATGATTTTATTTCCCCCAAAAGTTATTTCACAGAGAATTAAAAATATAAGTTAATTTTCCTGGTTCTTGGCAACAGCCTGTACAGATTTTGTGGAAGTAGCAGTGTTTTAATTTCTTCTCATGATATCCAGTAAATTTAGTTACACATTCCTGGGTAACGGTTCAAAGGTTCATCTGAGTTTTGGGCTACCTGATAAAAGTTAAAACTTACTTAGAAGGTGAGATGGGTTTGTTTTTTATGAGAACAAGAAAACAGATGGGACTCAGTTGCATAATTAATGTAAAGAAAAATGAAGCCACATCTTTATTATTACTCTTCATTCTTTGATTTTATTTAATTGTCAATTCTTTGTATACAGCGCAAATTTGACTTCTTCCAAGATTCGTGAACATCTCCATATGATAATGATATTAGATATCAGATGATGGCTGTTTCCAAACAGTTAAACAAAACTCTAAAATTTATGCTTTTATCTAAAGGGTTATTGAATCAATGCCTGTAATACTGAATTACTTTAAATATTGTTTGATATATATTTGATAATTGGATCAGAATAAACATATGTTACTGAAGTGTATAAACATTATTTTCATCTCAGCTTCATAGAATTTAAGCCCAACATTGACAATGACTATCTCCACGAGTAAAGGTAATAGATGGTTTCAGTCCTACCAGGACTTATTATTTGCCTAATATTAAGAGGCATTTTCCTTGGAGTTGAAGATACAAAGGCAAAATGAAAAACAATCCTTGCACTTAGGGTGCTTACATTCTACCTGGGATGTGTACCATGTAAATAGGTACATTTCTATATGATAACTGAAGAGAATAAGCCCCTATAGTCATTAATAAAAAAAAAATTATGGGTTTCAGTTTGGACAGTTTGAGATGCCTACAGTACTGAGTTAGAGATGTACAGCAGACAGTTGATAATACAGGCCTAGTACTCAGGAGAGAGATTCAGGCTAGATATATAGATCTGAGAGTTATACCACCACCACTACCCCCCCCCCCACACCTAGCATTTTAGGGCACTTTAACTTTGCAATGTGCTTTAAAATATTATCTCATTTGATCTTCACAATAGCTCTATGAGGCAGGTATTATCATCATTATTATCCCCACTTTGCAGTAGAGAAACCTGAGGTAGTCAGAGGTTAAGTGACTTGCCCTGGATTGGAGAGCTAAGAGATATCTAAGACTGGATGTGAATTCAAGTCTTACTGACTCCAGGCTCAGCTCTCTATCCACTGTGCTACCTAGCTGCTTGAAAGGAGGACATACTCCATATTAAACATTTTTAAGAGAGAGTTTTAAATTTTATGTCAATATGTTTACTTTACTTTATCCCCAGTAATTTACATACCACTAAAAATACAAAAGGATTTCAGATCATTGGAGCAGTACCAATTAAAAGGACCAAAAAAAGGTCTCCTGTAGGAGATGACATTTGAACTAATCTTGGAATGTAATTAGGCATTTCAAGATGTAGAAAACTGGAAGCAGAACATTCTGGAAATGGAGGAGAGCCTAGGCAGACACATAAAGGTGAGAGATACAATGACATGTATGGAGAAGAGTAAGTAGGAGTGTTTGATTGGAACACAGAACACATATTGGAATATAAAGTGAAGCAAACTTTGGCTACTATTGGAGTTTAGGAACCCAATATTACCATTTAAAAACATTTTTTTTTTACTTAGGCAATCAGGGTTAAGTGACCTAAGGGTCACACAACTAGTAAGTGTTAAGTGTCTGAGCCTGGATTTGAACTAAGGTCCTCCTGACTCCAAGGCTAGAGCTCTACTCACTGAACCACCTAGCTGACCCTTAAAAACAAATTTAAAAGAAAAACAAAGGTCCTGACCTTTCAAATATTCCTTTTCCCCATTATCATTATAAAATAACCAAAAGACAAATCCAAAACTGCCTCACTCCTCAATCTCTCACAGTCTTTGAAAAACTGTGGTTCAGTATCTAGTGAAGCAAAGGGCAAGTGTACCATTTTGAAGCATAGGATTCTGGGAAGTTCACAAACCTAGAGCTTGATGAATATAAATAAATGTCTATTTTTTGTAAATTCGTAAAAGTATAGAAAATTGTAAAATAAAGCATATCTTTATCCATTTGCTATCCAAGTACATTTGAAATAATATTAAATCAAAATTTTTGGAAGAAAATTCATTGAATATACAAGGTATATTCAGATATAGCATTTCTGATCCTCACTTGATAAGGGACATTTGTGACTTTAGGAGTGTTGAATGTTGTCATAAATTCAGTATCAATCACTTTTTATCTTCTTCCTTTCTCTTCATTCCTAATTTTTGTTATTTGGCTAAAACTCAGCCATCAGCTTTGCTTTTGTTGTCTCTGTTCTATATTTTAATTGTTGAGTTCCTAAACTTACAGATATTATGCTATTTGAAAAAAAATACTTCATAACTTCTCTATTGGAGAGGTAGTGTGACACAGTGGAGAGATAACTAGCTCAAAGCCAGCGAGACATGGGTTCAAGTCCTACTTCTGACACATAATGCCTGTGTAACTCTGGTTATGTCACTCAGGAAGACCTGAGTTCAAATCCAGCCTCTGACACTTACTGGCTATGTGATCCTGGACAAGTCACTTAACCTCTATTTGCCCCAGTTTCCTCATCTATAAAATTGAAATAATAATAGCATCTACCTCTTGGTGGTGTTATGAGGTTCAAATGAGATAATATTCAAAACACTTAGCATATTGCCTGGCACATATTAAATGCTATATAAATGTTAGCTATCATCATTAGCATCATCATCATTATTGTTACTATTAATTATTATTAGTATTTAACCTCTCAGTGTTGTAGGGAGTTCGTAAGTTGCAGAGAAGGTGCCAACCTGTATTCTTGGGGGAAATTTCCTTTCCTGGGAATTACCTCTATGAAGAAAATTTAGACACAGTCCCTATTGCTCCTTTTCTATTATATGCAGTAAGGAATTTTATAACTCTTGCTTGAAACTAGGTCTAGAACTCATAGGTTGAAGCCAGGAAGACACTGCTTCTCACATACTGTGCATTACACCAGTTGCCAATGAGAGTTTATGGTCATTGAGGGGATATGGAACTTGATGGTGTTTTTTCCAGCAGTCGCTTTCCATGCCCCACATAGCAGAGATCCAGTTTCTGCTTACCACCTCATTCCAATGTCAATGAAAATAGCAGCCGTTATATTATCCCACATTCCATAAAGGGATCATCTGTCTGGACGGTTACACTTTATTTTTAGCCAAATAGATGCTCCTACATTTGTCTTAGTGTTGTTTTCCCCACAAACAGGATAAAGTGGGGAAAAAAATTATAGAAACAAATTGAGGCCCAGAGGAAAGGGCTGGCTTACTCAAGGCCAGACAAGGGGAAGGAATAGAATTAAGATTAAATAATTAGGATCTCTGACTCCAAATCCAGTGCATTTTCCACTATCCCATGTTAACACGAATAATCATGATATTATATCTTTGCTTGCATTGCTTTTGTCTCAAGAGCTGATGCCAGTAATGATCTGAACAGGGTTTTAGTCCCTTCCCTTCCATTATCTTGGAACTTCAGGTGCCTATTCTGTAAAGTTGGATGACAATGTTTACACTATCTAATCCAGGGCTGTTGTAAAGAAAACACTTAGAAAAACTTAAAAGGTTCTACAAATAAAAGTTATTAAGTAGTGATGAAGTGTGGAGGAAAGAGCAGTGAATTCTGAGATAGAAGATCTGGGTTCATATCCTTGCTCTGACTTATTTTGGACAAATCACTCATTAACCTATGTGAACCTCAGTTTACTCATCCATGAAACAAAGCTGTTGAACTCAATTGTTTCTTCATGGTGTCCTACCTCTAACTCACAATCTGTGGAGAGCAGAAAGTATATTTTGTATTTTTTAAATAGTCTTCATTCCTGACTACTGTACCAAGCACATATGTTGTTGTTGTTGTTGAATTGTGTCTGACTCTTTGTAACCCATTTGGGGTTTTCTTGGCAAAGATACTATAGTGCTTTGCCATTTTCTTCTCCAGCTCATTTTACAGATGAGGAAACCAAGGCAAACAGGGTAAAGTGACTTGCCTAAGGTCACATAGCTAGTAAATGTCCAAGGCCAGATTTGAACTCAGGCTGCAATAGAGCTATGGACTGCTAGAAAACAGCTAGGCAGCATAATTGATATCGAGAATTCTTGAAGTCAGAAAGACCTGAATCTAAATGCTGTCTTGGACACTTCTTAACTATGGGACCCTGAGAAGCCACTTATCCTGTCTTAGCTATTTGTCAAAAGGGTATAATAATAGCACTTACCTATAAAGCTATTGTGTGGATCAAATTTATAATTTATGTAAAGTGTTTTGCAAATCTTAAAGCACGAGGGTATGATTAAACAATTGGCAAATAGAAAGCTTGTTGCATATGCCTTAGATTTCACTGGGGAACAGGCACAACATTTATGTTGTAATTAGTCATGGATGGAACAAGAAAGACTTTCACACTCTGCAGTATAAGATTCACCAAAATTATAAAATACTGGAGATGAACAGACACTAGGGAAAACCATTTAGGACAGCTGATAATTTTGCAGAGAGGAAAGTGTGATCAACTGATGATCACAGCATTTTGAGCTACATGGGAAGTTAGTGATCACCTAATCCAGGGGTGACTCACTTGTGACTCACAGGTCCCCAAGGGGTCTATGAATATATTTCAGAGGGTCCTTGAATTTGGTTTAGGATAAAAAATGCAGGCTTATTTTCACTAACCTTTAACAAGAATTGAGCATGTCCTTCAAATATTTGAAAGCATTATTTTGAGCTGTTCATATAATGTTCACCACACTGCAAGAGGGATTCATGACACCAAAAAAGGTAAAAGACTCCTAAACTGATCCAACACTCTTGTGTTTCAGTTGAGAAAAATGAGACCCAGGGAGTTGCAGTGAATCTTTGCAGATCACACAGTAGGATAGCCAGAATTTGAACTAAAAAATCCACTGTTCTTTCCAGTACAATGTGACTGCCTCCCAAGGTCACATACTTCGGGACTGGATCTCTCAATTCCCAGTCCCCTGCTTGTTCTACAAAATGATACAAGGGAGATATCACTTGACTGACAGTGTAATTTAGTCTACAGAATAGCAGGGCAATTAGTAAATGGGATTTACTGTAATTAAGAGAGATGCATGAATATTATTTTAATGATGATCTGAATACTGTTTGAATGTGATTTGCATATGCCTCCAATTACTATGCTGTCTTATCTATGTCAACTTTAAAAATGAAAGTTTCTTAATGATTGTTGTGAAGTCTGTTGTTCCTTAATTTTTGTCTTCTAAGTCTTTGCACTCACTCTCATTGATCATGGATTCCCTTCACCATAAATGTACTGTTAGTGAATGTGTGCATTTCTTCAGGGCTATTCTATCCATTGACCTTTCAGAAGGAGAATTCAAAAATAGCACTAGGAAATTTCCTTCATTGCCCAACCCGGCTTAAATTTTGCATGGCAACATATTTGCATGGTCTGCCGAGAGTGGAAGATAGAGAACAGGTGGAGAAGTTGTGGCCTATGCTTTTAGTTGGCTGATTGCCATCCTTCCTGCAAACACCCTGAGCTCAGGTTACTCCCAGCCAGGCCTCCCCAATATATTGAGAGCTGGAAGGTACGAGCCCACATACGGGGCAGGTGCAAAGCTGCCTAGGTCAGCACTCTTGTCTATGTGCTCTCCAAAGGGCAGACAGAGTTAACTCAGTTTTTTTTTTTTTAATCTTGAACATTTTGGAGACACTGCTGAGCAATTTGGGAACTGGAGAAAATACATAAATAGGTGAGAGACTACAATGGCATCTGGTTGGTGCTTTCTCTATTGTGTTTCTTTAAGTGTGATGAGTTATTAATTACAATTTGTTTAGGATCAGGCACCTTCCTTCTCACTCACCAGGAAATTCAACCTTAACTCATTCCATTTGATAGTTTGGTTTCACTTAAAATGGTTTGCTAAACACATTTTTGCATTGTTTTTGATTAAAACATCTCTTTTAGATATTTATTAATTTGTTTAAAAGAAAAGCCATAATATTTGCAAAATGTTTACATAAAGGATAAACAATAATAATTTATTTTCTGACTTTTATCTTTTTGCTACAGGTTTCTAGGTTGCTATTAATAGCTCTGTTCGTGCTGTGTTTCTTGTATAGCTATGGCTTCCGTATCCATAGCTGGCTGCCTGCTGACTCAAAATCAGTATTATCGAAGTAAGTTAATGTATCTCAACCATAGGGTTGTCATTTCTTTGGAGGCTGAGGTGGATGAGGAATATAAAGTATATAACACTGTATGCCACCATTCAGGGCAGAACACCAGTATATGTCTATGTCAAGAAAGAAAAATTAGCAAATCATGAGTTAGAATTCTTTTTTAAACAATGATTTTACATTTGTTGTTTTTTCTTAGTTGTCCTGCCTCAGTCAAGACATTTTTGTCAGTATTTTAATATGTAGATACTACATCTATTGAGGCAAATCACAGCTACCCTGTGACTCAGTTGAAGGTCTTTGAAAGTTGTTCTATCCAAAATATTCATCACTTTGTGGTCAATCTTGTAATGAGATTCTCTAAACTTATCTATACTCATCTTAAGTCAGAAGTCTTTCACCAGTTTCATACTCAAAGTCTTTCTGATTTAGAAACTTCTGGTGCTGACATCGCACTGGCATAAATTAGAGAACCCAAGGTCAATTCCATACAGTAATGAGGCATTAGGGAAAATTCGCTATGGCAGTGACTAGAAGAAAACAAATGTTTTTGGATTCCATAATATGTTTGCATACATGATGCATTTGTATACATTTTGAAAATTCATAATCTGGAAACAGACTTAGAAAATAAGTTCATAAACTGACATTTAGAATCAATATGTAGAAAGGTCCCACTTAATAAAGAGCCAAAGTATTATTCTTCATATTAGAAATTTCTACACAATTTTACATTGTGAATTTTCTTATTGTTCTTCTCTTCTACCCATAGGCTCTCGGTCTTTCTTTGTCTTTCTGTTTCTATCTCTCTGTCTCTTTCTGCCTCTTTACACACACACACACACACACACACACATACATACACATTTTGTCTATCTAGTTGTACTCAAGTTCACATCTGAATATATGTATGTGTGCATATACATATATACACATATACATATATATAGTGTATGCATTATTAAATATCTACATATGTTTAAAGTATGAGTGTACTCATACACATATTTTAAACATCTTTTAATAGACTCCATATAGTAGAACACTTGAGATTTGATTTTTACAGGGAAAACTACAAGAAGTCTGTGATTATGATACTTGATACAATGCCTGACACATTGTAGGCACTTAATATATTCTTACTGATCAATTAACCCCTTTGTAGTTGTTGGTAATCTAAACATTTGTAATATACATATATATACAAATATATAAAAATATGTTTGTAATACACATATTATAACAAAGATGTAATATATTTATAATACATAAATATAATGCATATATATTTTGTCATACATACATATATACATACATACAGTGTCATATAGAAGAAAGAGTGCTACCTGTGGAGACAAAAGATCTGAGTTCAAATCCTGCCTCTGGTATTTACTATCCATGTAGTAACCTCTCTCAGCATCAGTTTCCTCACTCTAAAATGAAGGGAGTTAGACTAGCTCTTGATCTAGGATCCAATATTAGAAACTTTAGGCAACTAGAGTAACTAGTTTGTAACACTACCTTGTGTATATTGTTTCTGAAAGTCTGAAGACTATGAATTCAGAGTATTTTCCTAGGTAACAACAACCCTGTTATTCTGAGTTTATCTACTCAGGGTCTCTAATATACCAAGTTCTAATCTTCTTTCCCACTGTGATGTTGTTATCTCTCTGAGGGTTATTTTTTGAAGTCACAGTTAATCTGAAATAAAGTATAAAGAAACCAAGTGATAACTTCAGTAAGTACAAGAAGCACATTCTCTCTTGTATGCTAAGGACATATTTAGTGATTGGCTTCTCATATCTTAGTTTCTGAGGCTGGGCTAGCAACAGAGGGTTTCTCAGGCACATTGACACCTTCTGTATTTACAAATGGCATGCAGCCCACAAACTCTTTGAGTATGAGACAGAAAAGTCTCTAGAAAATCATAGTAAAGAACGTGGTACGGTAGTTAGAGTATTGGGCCTGGAGTTCGAGAGACTGAGTTCAAATCTAGCCTTAGACACTTACTTGTTGTGTGACTTTGGGCAAGTCCATTAACCTTTGATTATCTCAGTTTACTAAATTCTAAAATGGTGTTGTTTTGAAGATCAAATGAGAGATAAGTAAAGTGCTTAATACAGTGCCTGGCACATAGCACTACATACATGCTCTTATTAATATCATTATTATTATTAATTATTCAGTATTGTGATGGGACTAAAATTCTGACTACAATATGAGTCTGACTAAAGACAACATTATTTGATAATTATGTACATACACATACAGATGGCATTTATATAACTTAAAGTTTCTAAATGTTTTTATATATACTATTATATTCCTCATTGTATATATAATTGTGGTATTGTTATTAATATTATTATCCCCCCACAGAATCCAGTATTTGTTCAGTAAATTCTTCCTCTGGCTCTGATCCTGTAAACTTCACAGACATGGAGAAAGCCCATCCAGGTAATCAATTTAATTCATGGTACTCATAGGTATTATTTTTCCCCATCTGGTTTGTCATTCCTGAACTTCAGTCACTAAGAATCATTATACTTACTTTTCTAGGTTTACCTGAAGAAGCTGAATCAAACTGGTGGTTCAAATCCTTTTTCCATTCAGATCCTGTCCCTCCAGATAAAGAAAGGAAAGATTTGTTTATTATTAGGTAAATATTGGACTCTTTTTTTTTTTGGTAATAATTCTGTTTCCCAATTCCCTCACTACCCAACAATAAGTATCTTTCTAAATAAAATGTAACGAAAGTTTTATTATTTGTCACGTTCCCAAACAGTCCCAGACATTGTGATTTTCCAAATTTTACCTTCCTTTACCTCTAGATAATCATTTCATCCTTCCCTTGCTTTAACTCCAAACACAAGCAAAGGTCACAGGCAGGACCATTTTTGGGGAAAGCCCTGAAAGGTTGTCTTCTAACAACCACTGCCACTACCACCCAATGGACTTTTTTAGAAATATTAGCTAATTTCATCACAATCTAACTGCTAAATCCTAAGCATAGGATAAGATTTAAAGTTATGAGGACCTTAGAAGTTATATAGTCCAGCCCTCTTATTTGCAGATGAGAAAATTCATCCTCAGAGGAGTTAAGGGACTTACCTAAGGTCATACAACTACTAAGTAACAGTGCTGGGATCTGAACTCAGGTCCTGTGTCTCTAACTTCAGTACTCTTTGCACTGTACCACCATTATGGGTACCAATTTTTAGGTTTGTGGTTTCTATAGACTTCTGCTTTACTAAAGTGTTATACGTCTTACTACAAGGAAAAAAGAAACTTAATTGTGTTCATTAAACTTTTTTTTTTTTTTTACTGAAGCTTACATCTTTAATGTAATCAAGCACAAATTATTCCATTGGACCAATGGCTAGTACCAAAATTTTTTATCTTTTTTTTTTGTCTCATTGATTCTGTGGTAATATAGTGAAGTCTGTGAATTGCTTCTCAGAATATTTTTTCCAATTAATAATTGAAGGGAATATTATATTTCACATAGAGATTAGTTAAAACAAAGACATTTTTTCTCTCATCCAAATTCATGGAGCCTATGGACATTATATTTAAAAAATATCTGGGTCTAAAGCATATAGAATGTTGGAATTAATCATGCCTTTGGAAGCACTGGCTATACCTAATGAAATGTGGGAAAAGATTAATTGCCTGGTAGTTTACTCTAGTGTCACACTGGATAATTTAGGTCAAAATTCCAAATCCTTTCTTTCCCCCACGAAACAAGTAAATTTCTTGACTCAGCTAGGTGATTTCTCAACCCACTACTTTACTTTGTCTCTCAATACAGACATCCCAAGGGCTAGTTATGCCTGTGCGTCTTGCAGCTGCCAATCTTTGTTCTGGAATCCACTGAATAGTCTTATAACATGCTCATCTCTCCTTTTTATTTTTTTTAACAGCATTAGTAGTTAATTCCAACAATCAAGCTGCCTCTGCCTGTTATAACACATTCGTATCCCTAAATATTAATGATATTCCAGATGACCATACTCCATGGCAGTGAGGCAATAACTATTTGAAACCTCAGTTGGGAGAAGAGATAACAACATTAGAAGGAACAATGATAATTCAAGTCATATTATTCTATGCTGAAGCTGTCTCTGCACATATCATCAGCAGCATAAAGAACAGTGATCCTACTTGAGAAGTGTACTTTTTGATACCTGTGCCTTTTCAAATGTATATATTATGTATGTATGTATATATACTTATATATAATAATTCATAAAAGTTGTTTTTTGATTATTTACCTGATTATTTCTTAGGTTGATTTTTTTTGTTATTATTAGATTGTATGTTAAGGAAAAGACTCCTCTCAATTTATCTCAATTTCAGACTGGTGTTAATGTTTAGATAAACTCAAATGCCCCCTCCCTACTATCAGACATCAAATGACTTTCTTGAATAATGCTCATTACATCCGTCTGGAAGACCTTTCAGAGAAGGTCAGAGAAAAGGTCAGATATTATGAGAACTTTACTCACACAGGAGAGATATCATCATATCCTTACGCATAAATTTTATACTTCAAAAACTATCTTCAAAAGTATATAAAAGTGTCCCCTTGTCTATTACCAAATTTGTCTAGTTGAGGTAAGTTGAGGCAGTCATTTCATTTTAGTCGCTGGATAGTGATATCCAAAGCGGTGATCTATCGTGACCAAATTCATAGGCTAAATCATTCATTTCTGCTTCCACAGAGAGAATGCCATTTGCCTATCACTAAGTGAGGGAGAAAATTGAGTCTATCATCCCATATGCAATGGCTGTTCCCCATGCTTTGAATGCTCTCTTTCCTAGTCTCTGCCTCTTGGAATCTGGTTTCCTTCAAGGCTTAACTTAAAGGGCCACCTTTTGCATGAGACCTTTCCTAGTTCCCTTGCTGCTGCTTAGTGCTTTCCCCTACAAGGTTAGCTTGTATCTGCGTTTCATGTGTGTGTGTGTGTGTGTGTGTGTGTGCGTGCGTGTGTGTGTGTTCTATATATACACACACACACACATATATATACATATACATATATATATATATGTGCACGTTGTTTTCCCCTGTAGAATATAGACTACATTAAAGGCAGAGACGTTAGCTTTTATCTGTATTGCTAGAGGCTAGTGCAGTGCCTGTCATATAGTAGGTATTTAATAAATGCTTGCTGGGTGATTGATTAATTTACGTTTTTGGCTGAGTTTTTTGTTTATTTGTTTGTTTTTGCCTGAGATCTATATAAATGAAAGAAATTTGTACTTTTGTCTTGAATCTTTTGGATAATTGCGAGGGATGTCTACTTCACCTTGCATGTATGGGTGCATTCTTAAAGACAGAGGCCCTATTTAGGCAGTCCTAACCTCGTTTTGTTTGTGTCTAAAATACAAATTACTGGTAATTGTGCCTTATGTTGTAGGACAGTAGAAAGGTTTTTCTTAGTAAAATTTTTTGCTTGTTTTTAGTATTGAAATTAATTTTGTGTGTAGTAATTTTAGAAAAAAAAATCTACAAATAAGCCAAATGAGCTTCTGTCTCACATATTTTTTTCTTTGCTATTTGGTATATATAGCAAGAGAAATGTTGTCAGAATACTTGCTGAGTTATTTGGTAAATATATAGAAATCATGTAGAGCCCACTCTTTACCTTTGGGTGCTAATTTTAGAAGTTGTTTCTTAAACATTCATTTCTCTTTCCTTTGTATAATGTTTTCAAATTCTTTCAGAATGAAAAAAAAATTATAATTGCAAATGCATGATACATCATACTGGTTTTATATGTTAAAATAATTGTGAAAGGTATAATTATTTATAATTAAAGTAATTTTCTGATTACATTTCTGTGTCTATTGTCATGATGATAAAATTTTAACCTTATCAAAATATGACCAATTAGAAAGTTCTTAGCATTATAGATCCCAAAGTATATCCTAAACTGGAAGAGATCATAGAAGTGATCAAGTTCAACTACTCATCTTTTACAGATAAGGAAACTGAGGCAGGAGAACAAATGATTTGTACTGGGTCACAGAGCAAGCAAGCAGAATTTGAAATTAGGTCTTCCTCATTCTAAGTTCAGTGCTCTATGCACTACACCATGCTGCCTCTTAATATTTTTTGGGGGGAGGGGGGAAGATATAACATTGATTGAAAGTGAAAAGAATTTCTTGAGTTAACTCAAGAAAGTGTCTATGTAGTTCAATTATTCATTCAACAACTATTTTTTGTAAGAACTTAATCCTCATAGGAGCTTATTTGTAGTGTAACAAAGATGGGGAATAGGCAATTCTATCCATTACAGAATGGATTTTACCCAGTGGAATGGGCTTGAAAAGAGGAATTAAAAAAAAAAGAATTTAGGTAGCTCTTAATTTAATTCAACAATATTTATAGAATATCTACTGTGTATACTGGATAAAATGTGAAAATCATGTTATCTGTTTGAGCTGGTGTCAGAGCTTGGAGAGATGCCCAAGGCTCCAGATACCCTTTCTAAGGAACAAGTGGAAAAGCTTTGGAAGCAGCAGGACTATAGGGGAAGATGGCTCATCAACATGCCTCAGATGTCCAATTTACTTCCCTAGAAACTTCACAGAAAGATTTTTTTGAGGGGTGAGATTGGGGCCTTTTCTTGGCTAAATTGGGATCTTATCTTTTTCCCTTTCAAGAGTTCATTCACTCATTTGTATTTTTTGGAATATTCTACTCTGTATGAATTCTCCAAATGTATTTCCTATACAGTTATGTAAATAGGTCTATTCACTATTTGCCATTTATGATGGTTTTTGTTGTAATTAGTTTTTGGTAGAAAGGAGTTATGCTAGAGAGTATAAGCTAAAGGCTAACCATCAAGTTAAATGACTTTTGTTCTGAACCTCTAAAAGTCATACCCCTGGAGGCAGGGAGTAAGATAGGTATAATTCTAGTCTAATACCCATCTTGAATATGAGTAAGAGAAAGATCAATTACCTATCTTTAGTCTTACTTCTACTATCAAGGGAGAAGTAATTTTCTCCCTTGGAGAGTTTGGGCCACATTTTAGAGGTATTTATCTTTTCATATAGCCTGCAAATTGCAGTTTTGTAAATAGCTGTGAGGGTAGATATCTTATGTGGTGATATGTGTCTCAAATTTCTTAGAATACTTGTAAATATTTGAAAATGTCAGCAAAATCATATTTAAAGTTTTATTACCATTCAAAGATGGATGTAATTAACTAGTATTTAGTTGATATGTTTGTCTGATATTAAAGATCCTAAACATCAAACAAGAGTTCTAAGACTTGAATTCAAATTTCTCATTTAGCAATCAAACAGCAAATGATGTGAACCTACACATTTTAAAAGTGGGGCTACCCCTTGGAGTCCTCCCTGTGTCTTGCTCCCCTTCTTTCTCCTTTTTTTTACTCCTATCTCTTAGCAGCAATGATTTCATATGGGTCAGTCCCCATTGCCCCTGTTATAATTTAGCTTAGGAAACTCCAGTCTAGAACCTCTTTCAGAGCTTGGACCCCAGTCATTGAAGCTCTTAAGCAGACTTATGTAGATACAGTATTATAGCAGGTTGGGACACCATCAAGTAGTTTTTTTTATGGATAGAATCTTATTTTGGGAAGATTAAGCTTTTTGGACACATTCTTTACTTGGCAGACAATAACCTTAATACCAGGAATAATTTTGTGGGTCCTTCAGTTGGTAATTCATTCTAATGCTTCAGAGAAGTATTTTCTCAATTTGAAAATCAAACCAGCTTGGAGGAGAGCAAAAGAGTACAAAGGGAGTTTCTGTCCAGCGTCAACTCTTCAATGATTGCCTTCTCAGTCTAAGTCACCCCCTAAAGATGATTCAAGGATTGGTGAGTTCCTGGCTGCAACCTCCATACTATGAGAAGGCCAGACTTGTTGCTTACTCTATGTGGCTCAACTGGCCCACTTTTTCACCAGTCTTCTGATCTCCTGGGGATTGTGTTAACCTGCTTGAATTTATCCCCCATGATTAGCATATTTTATCCCATTGTATCAAATGATATTCATTCCAGTCCTTTTTGAATTGCCAAATCTAGTTCCCCAGCCCTAATTGCCTGCTCCCTTGTTCCTATCCATTTCAACCTGACCTCTCCCTCCACAACATTCCACTCACAATCTTCCTACCCCTTCCACTGTGATCTCTGATTGCAGGCTTAACAGATAATGAACTTCCCTTCATCTTAAAACTTTCACTCCTTCCATCTTCTTGTACTCACTGAGACCAGGTATCCTCCTGATGGCACAGCTTCCCTGAAAAAGCAATAAATATATTTAAATAAACTTTGGGGAAAAAAATTCATGCTAAGCATTTTATATGTGACTTAAAAAAATGAATTGCATTTCTTGGTAAAAGGATAAAGGTTAAAAGATAAATATAGGCAATTCCATAATATCTTGAACTATCATTTTAGGTATATTTTAATAATATTATTGGGGGAGAGGAAGGAAATAAATATTTATGTAGCACCTATTATGTGCCAGGCATTTTGCTAAGTGCTTTATAAATCTTATCTCACTTGATCCTTACAACAACCCAGTTAGGTAAGCACTATTATTATCCCTATTTACGGTAGAGGAAACAGGAGCAAACAAAAGTTAAGTGACTTGTCCAGAGTCATACAGCTAATATTGAATTGAATGAGGCTGTTGAACTCAGGTCTTTCTGACTGAAGGTCTAGCATTCTGTATACTGGGCTGTCAACTGCTTCTAAGCAATTGTTTATAAACTTCTGCTTTACTATAAATGCTATTCCAGTTAGCCTTGCATTATTTCAGTGGCCAATGTATGCAAAAATTTGTACTTGCCAAATATTTTTTCAAAGTTGTGGGAATTCTATTTTTTATTCAGTGATAAAGATTTTAGGAAAAAGATTATCTATTCTCTAACTGGTTGGGCTGTCATTCATACACCCTGACTTGGTGTTCATGGTAGAGGGGTTGGAATAATCTTTTCTCTTCATTGCTACTTCCAGACTCTGCCTTTACCACAATCTCTCAGTAATCTCTCCTCCTTTGAGGTGTGTTCAATCCACATTTATCACTCAATTA